AAATACGGGTACTCCCACCCATTTTGATCCTCGTACTCATACTCTATCTTGCATCGATCTATCAGTCTGCTCTTCCTCCACTGCACTAGACTTCACCTGGTCTGTTCTACCGGACTTACATGACAGCGATCATTTTCCAATCATTCTTACTTCTCCTTCATATTCACCACCTTTCCGTAGCCCTCGCTGGCAATTTGATCGGGCAAATTGGGACCTTTACTCGCAACTCACTGCTTTTAGTGAGGTTCCTTCTTCATCCTCCATTGATGAGCTCCTACACCTCTTCTCGACGTCAGTTTATACCACAGCTTCTCATTCTATACCCCAAACCTCAGGCAGACATTCTCAGAAGTGCGTGCCTTGGTGGTCTCCTGCTTGTGCTTGTGCAGTACGTTGGAAACGCGCTGCATGGGGCAGGTACCGATACAATAGAACCAATGAGAGACTTCTTGATTTTAAGCAGAAGCGTGTGATCGCTCGCCGTGTCGTCCGTGACGCTAAATGCACTTGCTGGTGAGACTGTTTCCACCATCACCTCTGCTTCCTCTATGAGTGCAGTCTGGAAAAATGTGAGAAAATTGAGTGGTAAATACTCTCCTACCCGGCTTCTGTTCTACGGGTCGCCGGTATTGATGTAGCAAACCCTCTTGACGTTGCCGTTGAAATTGGCACTCATCTGGTCCGTATTTCCCGGGGGCTCCATCTATGCCCCTTGTTTCTTTCCCCAAAGTCTGCCAGAGAGTTAGTACCCTTGGACTTTTCTCTCAGAGAAGAACAGTATAATGTGCCTTTTACACTTCAGGAACTGGAGGCAACACTCTCAGCTTGCCGATCATCGGCAGCTGGGCCTGACAACATTCATATACGTATGTTACAACATTTACATCAGTCAGCCCCTGTAGTCCTCTTACACCCCTTCAATCTTATTTGGGCACAAGGAGTTCTTCCCCAGCTGTGGAAATCTGCCATTGTTCTCCCTTTCCGCAAGCCGGGTACTACAGGACATGATGCCTCCACTATCGTCCCATCGCTCTTACTAGTTGCAGTTTGCAAAGTGATGGAACGTCTGGTAAATCGACGTTTAATGTGGTATTTAGGGACACACAACAGTCTCTCCGCTAGTCAGTATGGCTTTCGTAAGGGCCGTTCTACCATAGACCCTTACTACGCTTGGATATGTATGTTCGTAATGCCTTTGCGAATAAATCACTCAGTTATTGCCATATTTTTTGACCTTGAGAAGGCATATGACACAACTTGGAGGTATAATATTTTGGCCCAAGCCCACTCCTTAGGCCTCCGAGGCAATGTACCATCTTCCTTAAGAACTTTTTAACTGACAGACACTTCCGTGTTCGAGTCAATAATGTGCTTTCCCGGACTTCATCCAAGCTTAAGGTGTCCTCAGGGATGTGTTCTGAGCACAACACTTTTTCTCCTTGCTATAAATGATTTGGCCTCTGTTCTTCCACCAATATTTGGTCATCACTCTATGTTGATGACTTCGCTATTGCTTGTGCAGGCACTGACTGTCATCTCATTGCAGTTTCTCTCCAGCATGCGGTCAACCGTGTTTCCACTTGGGCCACCACGCATGGGTTTAAATTTTCCAGTACTAAAACTCACCAAATTACTTTCACTAGACGCTCTGTCATCTCCAATCATCCTTTGTATCCCCGAACGTGATACAGTTAGGTTTCTAGGCCTTCTCTTTGTAGGTTATCCTGGAAACCTCACATTACCTCTCTGAAGGCAATTGTCACAGCCGGCTAAACCTTCTTAAAACCTTTGCTCATCTTTCCTGGAGAGCTGATTGTCGAACTCTGCTTCGCCTACATTCAGCCCTCGTTTTATCGAAACTTGATTATGGTGACCAGATTTATTCAGCGGCCTCTCCTGGTACTCTAGCCTTAACCCCATCCATCACCAAGGATTACGTTTATGCCTTGGTGCTTTTCGCTCTTTCCCTGTTGAGAGCCTCTATGCAGAAGCGAATGTTCCATTCTTGTCTGATCACCGTGATGCCCATTGCCTTCGCTACTATGTACGCTCTCACGATCTCCACAATCCTTCCATTTATAGAATGGTCACCGATATTAGTAGACATTCTTTATTTGTTCGCCGCCCCTGTTTGCTCCGCCCCTTTTCTCTTCGCCTACATTCGCTCTTGTTTTCCCTTCAGTTACCACCTTTATATGTTCATGTAGCATCTCACTTTTCCCTACCCCCCTGGGAAGTTCCAGCTGTTTGGGTCTGTTTCTTTTTCACTCCCTTGCTCAAAAGCCCAACTGCCTACGGTGGCTTCCCGCTCTCTTTTTCTTGATCACTTCCACTCTCATTCTCATGCCATCGCTGTGTACACAGATGGCTCTAAGTCTTCAGACGGCGTCGGATTCGTAGCAGTGTTTCCGGGACAGCGTCTTGCGGGGGCATTTACTATCTTCGGCTAGCATTTTTACTGCTGAATTGTATGCCATTCTTGCAGCACTTATTCATATCGCATCTATGCCTGGGTCATCATTTGTGGTTGTCTCAGACTCCCTTCGTGCTCTACGGCTATACGAAATTTGATACATCTCACCCCCTAGTTCTCCGTATCCAACTTTGGCTACGCCGTATCTCTACCAAGCATAAAGATATTGTTTTTTGTTGGGTCCCTGGTCATGTCGACGTACAGGGCAATGAACAGGCAGACACTGCTGCGCGGTCAGCAGTACATGACCTACCAATTTCCTTTAGAGGTGTTCCATTTCTGGACTATTTTGCTGCAATAGCTACCCACCTTCACACTCATTGGCAACAACGTTGGTCAACTTTGCTTGGTAACAAACTTCATTCTATTAAACCGAGCATATGTTACTGGCCGTCTTCTTGTCATCAGTGCCGAGGTTGGGAGACCACTCTCTCCCGCCTTCGCATTGGCCACACTGTCTTACTCATGGGTATCTCATGGAGAGGCACCTGTTCCTCTCTGTGAGCAGTGTCAAGTTCCAGTATCGATTAGCCACATTCTGTTAGACTGCCCTCTCTATCAACGAGCACGCAGAATTTACCTCCAACGTCGTCTTCGTTCTACTACTCACTCTTTACCTTCCCTTCTTGCTGATGGCCCTCCTTTAATCTTGACTCTCTCATTGACCTCTTGACAACGGCTGATTTACTCCACAAACTCTGATGATGATACCTTTCGCACTCCCTCAGCCCTTTCTAGCTCAGTCTCTTGCTGCCCTTTACCCTTTCACCATCCACTGCCCCGCTGTTATCCGTAACCTATTACTCATCCATCTCCCTTTTGCCACCTGATGCCCTTGCTTCCTTCCTGCCCTGCAGTGCTGTATAGCTCTTGTGGCTTAGCGCTTCTTTTTGATTATACTGTAATAATAATAATAATAATTCTCACACTCAAACCCGGCTATACTTACAGTGCTAATCACGGCATTATGTACCCCCCCCCACACATGTACCAAAACACAAACACATCATGAAAGATTATAATATATATATTTGCACACTGAGGTTTTAATACTTGTTGCTGCATCCTTTATGATTAATCACATCCCTCAGCCATGTAGGAAGACCCGCAAATTCTTGAGGGTTTGGGAGGTATATTATTCCATGCCTCATGTAGAGCCGCAGGATGGAACTGATATCCTTGACCAGTAAACTTCGTTTCAGTATTGACCAGAGGTTCTCAATAGGGTTTACGTCTGGGGAATTGCCTGGTCAGTCATTAAAGAACCTCACTTCACAGTCCTTAAGCCACTGAACTACAGATTTGGTGACATGGGGCGGTGCACGTCCTGCATAAAAAACCCTAGCCCCACACTTGTCAAACGCCTTGGGTAAATTGTCACACAATAATTCAGTATTTATACTGGTTCATATTACTGGTTTTGGGGGAAGCACAATGAGTTCACCAACACTCTGAGGACTGAAACACCCAAACATGAGCGAATTATTTAGTTTCTGATGCTTTTAGTGGAGAAGGATTGTAGAGTAATAAGGAAAGGGTGGTTAAACTAAGAGGTACACAGGAGGAAATCTCTGGCCTCTCATCACTCTATCACACTTGGTGAGAAAATTCATTGTTTCTACTGATGTATAGTTTAATAGGCTGAGTTTGGTATTCTTGTCATGATTGTTGACTTATCATCTACCTTTGGAATGACAGCTTGCCTGCTGGTGCATGTTCCAGTGACTATCACATGAAATAGTAGGGTTGGTCCCACCCCATGGCCCTCTGGGTGTTCCCTTCATAGTGTGGAGTCTGCCTGGGGTCCTGGTTCAGAGATACTGTCATCAGGCACTGGAATGGTAGGCATGTCAGTGATCCAGTTAAATCACCTTTATTGTTGCTGGGCTAGTGGTGGCATAACCAGTGCTCTTGGATTCCTTCTCCATTTAACAGCTGCCCCCTCTTCCATTCCTCAGCAGTGGTAGGTGGTAATAAGACAACAGTGGTAGGTGGTAATAACACAGCAGTGGTAGGTGGTAATAACACAGCAGTGGTAGGTGGTAATAACACAACAGTGGTAGGTGGTAATAACACAACAGTGGTAGGTGGTAATACATAAACAGGTTTTTATATTATAGTTGATGTATTAACTTAGTTTCCTGCATTGTTTTTCAGAGATTTAATTATAGACTTAACCTTCTTTTTATGTTCTTATTACATTATGAATGTCGACTGAGGCACAGGCCTTTGTAGGGCTCTTAGCTGATGCTGGTCATAACAAATTACCTTAATGAGTGGTGGTGAAGGAAGCTTTTTCTTTATGGTGCCATAGGTTAGTTTTGGTGTAAATGAGGCATGAATTCTTAGTGGACCTCCAGGGCCTGTGATGCAGGAAAGCAATTTTTCTGATCAAAACTTAGTTTTGTACCATTGGAAAGGAGACCAGGGATACCTCCCTTGGTCAATGTAATTTGGCATCACATAATTTTTTTAATTTGTCTGATTGAAATTTACAGGTATGTTAATGGCTTTTGTTCTTTTTCAGGGCCCAGCAATAAATGCTACCAGTGGAAAGAATGTTGTGTTGTTAGCATCTCGTAATGTTCAAAAGCCACAGATGTTCTTTCCAGAAAAAGTTAACAATTCGGCCAAGGAACCATTTATTCCCATCATCAAAGAAAAACCAAATTCTATGAAACCTCTGTCCATCCTAATATGTCTAGATAGCAATGGTCGAGAATTGTAAGTTGTTCACGTGCTGTATTGCCAATGTTTATAATGTATTAAAATTTTCTTATTTGGAGTACTATGTAACCCTTTGACTGTCGAAACCCCAAATCTTGAGGTGTCTCCTGGTGTTGAAAAACTTTGAAAAAAAAAAAAAAAATTCTTATGAAATGATAGAGAATCTTTTCCCGATGGTAATGACACCAAAAGAATGAAATTTGATGGAAAACTTATGGAATTATGCTCTCGTGAAGTTAGCGACTTCGGAGATATTTACGAATCGGCGATTTTGCCCACTTTGAGCCCTATTTTTGGCTAATTCCATTGTTCCAATCGACCAAACTCGTAACTATTTCTTTAGAATTCCATTTGTTCTATCGATTGAGTACAAGAAACTACCCATTTACCGATTTTAACTACAGTGGAACCTCAAATTTCGAACTTAATCCGTTCCAGGAGCTAGTTCTAAATTCGAAAAGTCTGAAATTCGAAGCAATATTTCCCATAAGAAATAATAGAAATACAATTAATCTGTTCCAGAAACCCAAAAATATTCACAAAAAAAATACATTTTATAGAGATTAATTACAGTTTTACATACAACAAATGCTATAGTCTTTAATTATGTATAGTAATATAAAATAACATTTTTACTTACCTTTATTGAAGATTGGTGATGGCATCTGGAAGATAGGGAGGAGGAGAGAGGGAGTTAGGGTTATTTTTTGGAAGGAGAATCCCCCTCCATGAGGACTTCCGGTATCAAAGCCCTCTCTGGGGTTGCTTCCCTTCTCTGTGTTTTAATGCCACTAGGACCAGCTTGAGAGTCATTGGACCCCAGTCTCACAAAATAACTGTCTAGAGTCCTCTGTTTCTGTCTCACAAAATAACTATCCACAGTCGTCTGTTTCTGTCTCACAAAATAACTGTCCACAATCGTCTGTTTGTCTCACAAAATAACTCCACAGTCGTCTGTTTCTGTCTCACAAAATAACTGTCCACAATCGTCTGTTTCTGTCTCACAAAATAACTGTCCACAATCGTCTGTTTGTCTCACAAAATAACTCCACAGTTGTCTGTTTCTGTCTCACAAAATAACTCCACAGTCGTCTGTTTGTCTCACAAAATAACTGTCCACAGTCATCTGTTTCTCACAAAATAACTGTCCACGATTGTCTGTTTCTCACAAAATAACTCCACAGTTGTCTGTTCTGTCTCACAAAATAACTCCACAGTCATCTGTTTCTGTCTCACAAAATAACTGTCCACAGTCATCTGTTTCTGTTTCACAAAATAACTGTCCACAGTCGTCTGGTTCTGTCTCACAAAATAACTGTCCACAGTCCTCTGTACATCTTGGCAAGCTCAACAAGTCTCACTCCAATCTCATACTTCTCTATTATTTCCTTCTTCACATCTATGGTGTTTCTCACTTTCTTTACCACAGGGATACCACTAGCAAGTTTCTTTGGTCCCATGGGAGCTTATTTCACAGCCCCACAAGCACTAAACACAAATAATCGTAAAATGTATGAATGAGATCGCAAGTTAGTGTTCACTCAAGCATAAACAAAGCTAGACTGCTCACGGCGCCTGCGCGGGGACGCGGACAGAGCGGGCCAGTGGACAGGTCCTGTACCCGGCGGTCCGAAAATAGGGGCGCGTTTGATAATAGGGACACAGTTTGTCCGAAAAAATGGTCTTATTTTCGAAACGTTTGACATGTGATACGTTCGATTTTTGAGGTTCCACTGTATCCAGTAAAGTGGCCAGAAATTTGCAATTTGGCCAATTTCATGCAAATTAAAAAATATACCAATTTCAAAATAGGGTCCAGAATGAACAATGCAGACATTCCTGGCTCTAAAATAACATTCTCTTTGTTCATCAGTCATGTCTCCAGGCCCCTCTGATATTCCTCTTGCTTTCTATTTTGAATTTTTATTCAAACAAAAAATAGAATATTTACTGTTATGCAGACTACTGCAATATTGTAATAATTGTATAAATAATGTCAACCCATTCATGACTGCATATTAGAATGGCTAGTTGGGCATTTATTGGACAGTGACATTGGCAAAAATTAAACATTTCCCCTACTTTGAGCTCCATTTCAAGGTTCTTTTCATAGTAAAACCAATCAAAATCAACTTGATTTCTATAATATGTTTTCAATTCTATCAAATGAGACCAAGAAAATGAGAATACAACCATAAATGCTGTACGAAAATAGACCACAAAGTCGGCACTTTAATCCAAAAAAACGGTCAGAGTTTTTTTTTTCTCATTATGCACTGCGTGCTGCAGGATTTTTTTTATATGGTGCACACTGACCACACACGACCCATTCTCTCACATGTGGGCCTACCAGCTTTCCCCTGCTTGATTTGAAGCTGCTAGAATTTTTGAGTATATATACGTCAAACACGGTGACTTGTAAGACTTATATATATGATCGAAACAGTCAAAGGGTTAAATGGATTCCTATAATTTTTTTCTGAACTGTTTTCTGCAAACTGAACATCAGGTATTTGTGTGATTCCAATAATTACACAGAATGACAACAGAAAATGCATATTTTTTCATAAAAATATTATTTCACTAATAAGGTTTTTTTTCAGGCACAAAATATTACTAAATCATTAAATATTAAATTCTGCATATATTGGCATTTTGGTTGCCAATTATTTATATGGTAGACATTTAAATCTTTTAGGTAGTAGGTTGGTAAACAGCAACCGCCCAGGAAGGTTCTGCCGTCCTGCCAAGTGAGTGTAAAACGAAAGCCTGTAATTGTTTTACATGATGGTAGGATTGCTGGTGACTTTTGTCTGTCTCTTAAACATGCAAGATTTCAGGTACGTCTTGCTACTTCTACTTACACTTAGGTCACACTACACATACATTTTTTTTTTCAACAAACCGGCCGTATCCCACCAAAGCAGGGTGGCCCAAAAAGAAAAACGAAAATTTCTCTTTTTAAATTTAGTAAACACATACATGTACAAGCATATATATACACACCCCTCTGGGTTTTCTTCTATTTTCTTTCTAGTTCTTGTTCTTGTTTATTTCCTCTTATCTCCATGGGGAAGTGGAACAGAATTCTTCCTCCGTAAGCCATGCGTATTGTAAGAGGCGATTTAAATGCCGGGAGCAAGGGCCTAGTAACTCCTTCTCCTGTATAAATTACTAAATTTAAAAAGAGAAACTTGCGTTTTCCTTTTTGGGCCACCCTGCCTTGGTGGGATACGGCCAGTTTGTTGAAAAAAAAAAAAATATACACACCCCTCTGGGTTTTCTTCTATTTTCTTTCTAGTTCTTGTTCTTGTTTATTTCCTCTTATCTCCATGGGGAAGTGGAACAAAATTCTTCCTCCTTAAGCCATGCATGTTGTAAGAGGTGACTAAAATGCCAGGGGCAAGGGGCTAGTGACCCCTTCTCTTGTATAAGTTGCTAAATTTAAAAAGAGAAACTTTTTTTTTTTTTTTTGGGCCACCCTGCCTTGGTGGGATACGGCCAGTTTGAAAAAAAAAATTAAATCTTGTTTGTTTTAAGCATTAATCTTTTATCTAATTAAAGATTTAAATGTCTACCCAAAAAAGAAACACTTTCTCCATCATTCACACTATCACTGTCTTGCCAGAGGTACGTACTTAACCCCTTGACTGTCGCAACCCCAAATCCTGAGGTGTCTCCTGGTGTCACAAAATTTCTGAAAAAAAATTATTTTTTCTTATGAAATAATAGAGAATCTTTTCCCGATTGTAATGACACCAAAAGAACGAAATTTGATGGAAAACTGATGGAATTACGCTCTCATGAAGTTAGTGACCTCGGCGATATTTATGAATCGGCGATTTTGCCCACTTTGAGCCCTATTTTTGGCTAATTCCATTGTTCCAGTCGACCAAACTCATAGCTATTTCTTTAGAACTCCATTTTTTCTGTTGATTGAGTACAAGAAACTGCCCATTTACTGATTTCAACTACTTAGTAATGTGGTCAGAAATTTGCAATTTGGCCAATTTCATGAAAATAAAAAAATATGACAATTTCAAAATAGGGTCCAGAATGAACAATGCAGACATTCCTGGCTCTAGAATGACATTTTCTTTGTTCATCAGTCACATCTCCAGGCCCCTCTGATATTACTCTTGCTTTCTATTTTGAGTTTTTATTCAAACAAAAAATAGAATATTTACTGTTATGCAGACTACTGCAATATTGTAATAATTGTATAAATAATGTCAACCCATTCATGACTGCATATTAGAATGGCTAGTTGGACATTTATTGGACAGTGACATTGGCAAAAATTAAACATTTTCCCTACTTTGAGCTCCATTTCAAATTTCTTTTCATAGTAAAACCAATCAAAATCACCTCGATTTCTATAATATGTTTTCAATTCTATCAAATGAGACCAAGAAAATGAGAATTTTTTATTATCACACTGGCCGATTCCCACCAAGGCAGGGTGGCCCGAAAAAGAAAAACTTTCACCATCATTCACTCCATCACTGTCTTGCCAGAAGGGTGCTTTACACTACAGTTTTTAAACTGCAACATTAACACCCCTCCTTCAGAGTGCAGGCACTGTATTTCCCATCTCCAGGACTCAAGTCCGGCCTGCCGGTTTCCCTGAATCCCTTCATAAATGTTACTTTGCTCACACTCCAACAGCACGTCAAGTATTAAAAACCATTTGTCTCCATTCACTCCTATCAAACACGCTCACGCATGCCTGCTGGAAGTCCAAGCCCCTCGCACACAAAACCTCCTTTACCCCCTCCCTCCAACCTTTCCTAGGCCGACCCCTACCCCGCCTTCCTTCCACTACAGACTGATACACTCTTGAAGTCATTCTGTTTCGCTCCATTCTCTCTACATGTCCGAACCACCTCAACAACCCTTCCTCAGCCCTCTGGACAACAGTTTTGGTAATCCCGCACCTCAAAATGAGAATACAACCGTAAATACTGTACGCAAATAGACCACAAAATCGGCATTTTAATTAAAAAAACGGTCGGAGTTTTTTTTTTTCTCATGCACTGCATGCTGCAGGAATTTTTTTATATGGTGCCCACTGACCACGCAGACCCATTCTCTCACATGTGGGCCTTCCAGTTTTCTCTTGCTTGATTTGAAGCCGTTAGAATTTATTAGTATATATACGTCAAAAACATATATATACGACCGAAATAGTCAAAGGGTTAAATATGACAGTTCAGATGCCCCTCCAGACAGCAAATATCCCCTCCCTTCCTTTAGAGTGCAGGCACTGTACTTCCCACCTCCAGGACTCGAGTCCGGCTAGCCAGTTTCTTTAAATCCCTTCACAAAATGTTGCCTTGCTCACACTCCAGGAGTTCATCAGGTCCCAAAAACCATTTGCCTTCTGGATGGCCAAGCACCTTGCACACCAAATCTTTACCCTCTGACAAGTGGGATATTTAAATATACAGTGGAACCTCTATTTACGAGTTTAATCCGTTCCGTGACCTTGCTTGCATCTGGATTTGCTCATTTGCAGAGTCAGTTTTCCTCATTTAAATTAATTGAAATGGAATTAATCCGTTTCCATGGGATTCCAGGCACAACATAATACACTTCAATAATTTCCCCAATATCAACTCTATGGCTTATTTATCTATCACAATTCATCTAATAACAATATAAATAACATAGAAACCTGATATATACTCTAGCTAGAATAAATAAAACATGTCATTCATATAGTGGTATCGGCGGCATCGGCAGCGGACGAGAGTTTGTCTGGAGACAGGACAAAATACTCCTTAAATAATTTTGCTAATATCAACTCTTTGGCTTGTTTATCTATCACAATTCATCTAATATGACATAATAAACAATGTTAATAACATAGAAACCTGATAAATACTCTAGAATTAATAAAATATGTATGTCATTATGTGACAGGTGGAGGCGGCCATAACCACTCCCGCATTGTTGTGGTAATCAGTGCCATTTAGTGACAGCCTTTTATTATAATTATTATTATATAGTACATTGTTATTATACATGTATTATTATTTTTTTTTTTTCAACAAGTCGGCCGTCTCCCACCAAGGCAGGGTGACCCAAAAAAGAAAGAAAATCCCCAAAAAGAAAATGCTTTCATCATCATTCAACACTCTCACCACACTCACACATAATCACTGTTTTTGCAGAGGTGCTCAGAATACGACAGTTTAGAAGCATATACGTATAAAGATACACAACATATCCCTCCAAACTGCCAATATCCCAAACCCCTCCTTTAAAGTGCAGGCATTGTACTTCCCATTTCCAGGACTCAAGCCCGACTCTATGAAAATAACCGGTTTCCCTGAATCCCTTCACTAAATATTACCCTGCTCACACTCCAACAGATCGTCAGGTCCCAAGTACCATTCGTCTCCATTCACTCCTATCTAACACGCTCATGCACGCTTGCTGGAAGTCCAAGCCCCTTGCCCACAAAACCTCCTTTACCCCCTCTCTCCAACCCTTTCGAGGACGACCCCTACCTCGCCTTCCTTCCCCTATAGATTTATATGCTTTCCATGTCATTCTACTGTGATCCATTCTCTGTAAATGACCAAACCACCTCAACAACCCCTCTTCTGCCCTCTGACTAATACTTTTATTAACTCCACACCTTTTCCTAATTTCCACACTCCGAATTTTCTGCATAATATTTACACCACACATTGCCCTTAGACAGGACATCTCCACTGCCTCCAACCGTATTATATGTATTATAATTATACTATTATTATTATACGTATTATTATTATTATTATTATTACAATATAAATAATTTGTAATTTTTATTCACACATAAAATAGAAGATTTACTGTTATGCAGACTACTGCATTATTGTAATAATTGTATAAATAATGGCAACCCATTCATGACTGCATATTGGAATGGACAGTGATGTCATTTGTTTACTCTTGAACATCGCCAAAGAATTGAGCATTTCTGGTACTTTGAGCTCAATATCAAGGTACTTTTCATCGTGAAACCAATCAAAATCATATCTATTTCTGAAATATATATCTTCCATTCTATCAATTGATACCAAAGAAATGAGAATACAACCATAAAAGCCATATGAAAATACCACTAAGGGGCGGCTAATGGCTGAGAAGTGGACTTTATTATTTATGGTCCAATTTCTTTCATTTTTGGTGTACATTAAGAAGCATTTTTCCATCATACATTGCCCAAGTTTCATTAAGATAGTCCAACAAACAAATGAGATCCAGTTCCCTAGATCAAGAGCAAGAGCCTCTCACTAGCATCAAGGAACCTCCCTTGAGGCCTGCTTGCTTATGGAAATTTTGCTCGCGTATGGAAGCAAAAAATTGACCGAGTGACTACTTGTAGTATTTGGAAAAACTCACACGTGGATGCGTTCGCAAGTGGAGTTTCCACTGTATTCCCTTTTCTGAGTATTCTCTGTTATGTTCAAAATGTAATTGAATCATCATCATCATTATCAGTATTGAGGTCTACATCAATTGCATCATCAACTTCAGAATTCTCTTATCTTGATTGGGTGCCACCCATTTTGAAGGCACTTGTTGCTTATAGAAATTGTAGGTAGTGAAATGGAAAGAGAACTTATGTTCTAAATAGCCAGCAAGCAAGTGTTGCTTGTATTATTACCATGTATGCATTTACTGTCAACCAAATTATTACCCAATATGTTGGAATTTTGTAAGAAAAATGCTATTTGACATCAATGTGTTCTGAACCAGATCCACTTTGTATGTGCTATTGATACCAACAGCTTAATTGATCAGGCCAGATTTGGGACAGGGCTGCAAGGGAGGTGTCCCCTGAAATCAACTACATGTATAGATAGATCATAGAATAAATACTTTTTTTTAAATCAGTTTAGCATAAAAATAATTGATGATATGCTCTTTGTTGTAGTAATGGGGATTTATTTTCCAGCTATTCTCATCCATATGAATATGAGCTCCAACACTGGACTCCAGGAACATCCCAGTTGCAGCCTGTTGACCCAGTTCTTCCCAAACCTATGGAACAAACACCTTTAGTTATGGTAGATACAGAGCAAGAATTACAAAATTTAGTCAAAGATCTTAGTACTTGTACAGAATTTGCTGTTGACTTAGAGGTAAGCCACCATATGGTAAAGTAAACCTTACTTCAAGTTAGTATTCTCATAGGAATTTAGGCCATGGCTGTTAATGTTATATTTAAGATAAAATATCTCTGTATCTTGTCAACTCTTTTTAATGTTCAGAGCAGAATACAGTTGAACCTCGGTTGTCGATTGCATTATTTGTTGAAAAAATCAGTTTTCTAATGAGGTGTTTGATAAAAAATGTCTTGGTTTTCGTATGTTCTCTTAGCTGTTGATGGACAAGTTTTCGCGTGTATGGAACAGGACAAAGCGGCTCAGTTCATGTTGTTACAGAATGCGCACTGGACAATGGGTCGAGAGTGTGGGTATGAGTCAGTATAGCCACTAAGTCTTGTGCAGTAAACATCTCTTGATCTTTTGTTGTTTATCTTGTGACCTTTTTTTTTTTTTTTTTTTTTTTTTTTTTGACCCCTCCAGGAAGGTTCCTTGACACTGGTGAGGGACGCTTAATCTAGGGAATTGGATTTGTGCTCCAGTTCCCTGAATTGAGCCTGAATACCTTCCTTACAGGTTTAGTGTTCCCCCATAATTATAATGTGAACTTTTTTTGTTAATTTGTGGTTTTGTTGCAATTTTTTTTTTATTGTGAGATAAGCCATCATGGGTCCAAAGAAGGATAAACAGATCAAAGCACTTGTCAAGGAGATGTGTGCTAAGTGGCATGAAGTGCAGGAGTTTGCTGAAAAATACCATCCATCCAAAGCAGTGGCCATCCATCTCTAACATGTACAGTGACAGTGTAATGTCTCAATTTAGACAGGTGTTAAAACAGAGCCTGAAACAAACCTCACTGGACAGGTTTTTTAGTGAGACAAAGAACCAGTGAGCCAGAACATGGTGTTAGTGGTGAAAAGAGACAAAGAAGAGAAACATTAACTCTCCTCTGACAGGTAAAGGGCAGTTAAATTTTGATTTACAATATGTATAGTATTTCAGTTAAATTTTCATTTAGTATGTATTCATTTTTACAGTTTCCCTTTGCTGTATAATTTTATACATTGTTTTATGTAGTGGTTAGTACATTATTAACACATTGTTATATTGTCATTTTGGATCTGGAACGGATTCTGTTTATATTATTCTTTATGGGAAAAATTACTTTGGTTATTGAATTGACATCTGGAACTAATTAAATTTGAAAACCGAGGTTCCACTGTATAAGATGGAAAAGCCTAGCCATAAAATATTTAATATCTTAACAGTCATTATTTAGGAATTACACAAATATTGACTTCCACAGAGTTCTTTTGATTGAAGCAGAGGGTTCTATGCAGTGTACTGTACTTTTACATTGCCTTCCTCTTATAATACCATGAATACTAAATTAGGTTTTACTTAGGTTTGAATTATAAAATAATCTTAAAATGCAATAAAACTGTTAATTAATTAGGATGTTTCTACTCTTGCTTAAATGAAAGGCTGTTAGAAGTAATAAAAATTTTACCTCATTTGTTCGGCACTAAGTAAGAAAGAAAGAGACAAATGCATAAGGCAGGCAGATGGTGAGCGGTTTGTGGGCACTTGTTGGTTACATTGAGCTGCAGAATGTTGAATGAGAACAGTGCAGATAAAAAATAGAAGGAACTTATGATGATCATAATGGAATGAAGATGAATGTATAATAAAGGAGAGTGCCTCTTACACACAAACATACAAGGGAATTTATTTTATTCCTCAACATGTTGCCCATTTCCCACTGAGGCAGGGTGGCCCCAAAAAGAAACACTTTTCACCATAAATAAAATCCTTATCTTCATCATTCAGTACTTTCACCATCATTCACACATAATCACTGTCATTGCAGAGGCACTCAGATATGACAGTTTAGATGTCACTCCAAACACCCACTATCCCAGTGTAAACATTGTACTTCTCACCTTCAAGACTTGAGACTGGCTAACTGGTTTCCCTGAATTTCTTCACACTCTCACAGCTCGTCATGTCCCCAAAACTCATTTGTCTCCATTCACTCCTATCTTTCACGCTCACACATGCCTACTGCATGTCCAAGCCTCTTTGCACAGAAGACCTCTTTTACCCAGCTCATCATGGCCCCAAAACCCATTTGTCTCCATTCACTCCTATCTTTCACGCTCACGCATGCCTACTGCATGTTCAAGCCCCCTTGTACAGAAGACCTCTTTTACCTCCTCCCTCTATCATTTCCTAGGGCATCCCCTACCCCCTCCTCCCTACCATTACAGATTTATACACCCTTCAATAATAATAATAATAATAATAATAATAATAATAATAATAATAATTATAGGTAGTAGGTTGGTAGACAGCAACCACCCAGGGAGGTACTACCATCCTGCCAAGTGAGTGTAAAACGAAAGCCTGTGATTGTTTTACATGATGGTAGGATTGCTGATGTCTTTTGTCTGTCTCATAAACACGCAAGATTTCAGGTATGTCTTGCTACTTCTACTTACACTTAGGTCACGCTACACAAACATGTACAAGCATATATATACACACCCCTCTTGGTTTTCTGCTATTTTCTTTCTAGTTCTTGTTCTTGTTTATTTCCTCTTACCTCCATGGGGAAGTGGAACAGAATTCTTCCTCCGTAAGCCATGCGTGTTGTAAGAGGCAACTAAAATGCCAGGGGCAAGGGGCTAGTAACCCCTTCTCCTGTATATATTACTAAATGTAAAAGGAGAAACTTTTGTTTTTCCTTTTGGGCCACCCTGCCTTGGTGGGATACGGCCGATGTGTTGAAAGAAAAGAAGAATAATAATAATACATGGGTAGTAGGTTGGTAGACAGCAACCGCCCAGGGAGGTACTACCGTCCTGCCAAGTGAGTGTAAAACGAAAGCCTGTAATTGTTTTACATGATGGTAGGATTGCTGGTGTCCTTTTTTCTGTCTCATGAACATGCAAGATTTCAGGTACGTCTTGCTACTTCTACTTACACTTAGGTCACACTACACATACATGTACAAGCACATATATACACACCCCTCTGGGTTTTCTTCTATTTTCTTTCTAGTTCTTATTCTTGTTTATTTCCTCTTATCTCCATGGGGAAGTGGAACAGAATTCTTCCTCCGTAAGCCATGCGTGTTGTAAGAGGCGACTAAAATGCCGGGAGCAAGGGGCTAGTAACCTCTTCTCCTGTATATATTACTAAATGTAAAGGAGAAACTTTCGTTTTTCCTTTTGGGCCACCCCGCCTCGGTGGGATACGGCCGGTGTGTTGAAAGAAAGAAAGAAGAAATAATAATAATAATAATAATAATACATAGGTAGTAGGTTGGTAGACAGCAACCGCCCAGGGAGGTACTTACACTTAGGTCACACTACACATACATATACAAGCACATATATACACACCCTTCTGGGTTTTCTTCTATTTTCTTTCTAGTTCTTATTCTTGTTTATTTCCTCTTATCTCCATGGGGAGGTGGAACAGAATTCTTCCTCCATAAGCCATGCGTGTTGTAAGAGGCGACTAAAATGCTGGGAGCAAGGGGCTAGTAACCTCTTCTCCTGTATATATTACTAAACGTAAAAGGAGAAACTTTCGTTTTTTCTTTTGGGCCACCCCGCCTTGGTGGGATACGGCCGGTGTGTTGAAAGAAAGAAAAAGGAGAAACTTTCGTTTTTCCTTTTGGGCCACCCTGCCTCGGTGGGATATGGCCGGTGTGTTGAAAGAAAGAAGAAAAAGGAGAAACTTTCGTTTTTCCTTTTGGGCCACCCCGCCTCGGTAGGATACGGCCAGTGTGTTGAAAGAATAATAATAATAATAATAGTAGCAGTAGGTTGGTAGACAGCAACCACCCAGGGAGGTACTATCGTCCTGCCAAGTGAATGTGAAACGGAAACTTGTAATTGTTTTACATGATTGTAGGATTGTTGGTGTCTTTTTTTTTTTTTTCTCATAAACATGCAAGATTTCAGGTATGTCTTGCTACTTCTACTTACACTTAGGTCACACTACACATGCATGTAAAAGCATATACAGTGGACCCCCAGTTAACGATATTTTTTCATTCCAGAAGTATGTTCAGGTGCCAGTACTGACCGAATTTGTTCCCATAAGGAATATTGTGAAGTAGATTAGTCCATTTCAGACCCCCAAACATACACGTACAAACGCACTTACATAAATACACTTACATAATTGGTCGCATTGGGAGGTGATCGTTAAGCGGGGGTCCACTGTATATATATATATACACAAACACTCCCCTCTGGGTTTTCTTTTTTCTTACTGGGTTTTGTTCTCGTTTATTTCCTCTTATCTCCATGGGGAAGTGGAACAGAATTCTTCCTCTGTAAACCATGCATGTTGTAAGAGGCAACTAAAATGCCAGGAGCAAGGGGCTAGTAACCCCTTCTGTACACATTGCTAAATTTATAAAAAGAAACTTTCATTTGTCTTTTTGGGCCACCCTGCTTCAGTGGGATACGTCCTGTTTGTTGAAATAATAATGATAATACAGGTTGACCATCACTAATCCAGCACCATCGGGACCTGTAGGGTGCCAGATTAGTGATTTTGCCGGGGTACAGAGTGGTTAGGGTAGAATATACTTAGCCCAATGGCTATATTTACGCATTAGTGATTTCACCCACTTTACGCCTTATTTTTGACCCATTCCATTGATCCAGTCTACCAAAGTTATAGCTATTTTGCTAGTATTCCTTCTATTCTGTCGATTGAGTACAAGAAACCACCCATTTACCTATTTCAACTACCCAAGAAAATGGTCAGAAATTGGTAATTTGGCCAATTTCACACAAATTTCAAGAGATACCAATTTCATAATAGAGTCCAGAATAACAATGCAGACATTCCTGGCACTAAAATAACATTTTCTCTGTTCATTAGTCACATCTCCAGGGCCCCCCCTTGTTTTCATTTTGAATTTTTATTCACATAAAAAATAAAAGGTTTACTGTTATGTAGATTACTGCATTATTGTAATAATTGTTTAAATAATGTCAACCCATTCGTGACTGTGTATTAGACTCACCAGTTGGAAACGTTTACTCTTGAACATCAACAAAAATGAAACATTTCCGCTACTTTGAGCTCAGTTTCAAGGTACTTTCTGTCGTGAAACCAATCAAAATCATATATATCTCTATATCTTCCATTTTATCAAATGAGACCAAAAAAACAAGAATACAACTATAAAAACCATATGAAAATACACTGCAAAGTCGCTGTTTTGCACCAAAAACACAGTCACAGTTTTTTGTTTCATTATGCTCTGTGTGCTTCAGGATTTTATATAATGAACACTTACTACACAGACCTATTCTCTCATATGTAGGCCCAAATTTACTGGTCACAACTTATCTGAGTGAGCTGAGCACATGGCAATCTACTGTGACTTCAAAGACACCTTATCTTTTATGGACGATGTATGGTGTATGTGCGTTACACAATGAGAAGCATTTCTTGTATTCATTGGAACCGTGGCTAGGGCTAAAAGTGAGCAGTTTATAACAACAATTATGCTTGCGAAAATTAGTGCTGGATTACTGATGGAACCGGATTACCGATTGCCAGATTAGTGTTGGCCAACCTGTAAAAATAATAATAATAATAATAATAATAATAATATTATTTTTTTTTTATTTTTTTTTAACAAGTCGGCCGTCTCCCACCGAGGCAGGGTGACCCAAAAAGAAAGAAAATTCCCAAAAAGAAAATACAGTACTTTCATCATTTTTCAACACTTTCACCTTGCTCACACATAATCACTGTTATTGCAGAGGTGCTCAGAATACAACAGTTTAGAAGCATATACATATAAAAATACACATATCCCTCCAAACTGCCAGTATCCCAAACCCCTCCTTTAAAGCGCAGGCATTGTACTTCCCGTTTCCAGGACTCAAGTCTGGCTATATAAAAATAACCGGTTTCCCTGAATCCCTTCACTAAATATTACCCTGCTCACATTCCAACAGCTTGTCAGGTCCCAAGGATATTGGAAATACAATGAACTTTCTTAAATTTGTTCCTCTGTCAGACAAATATCTTCTCTTTTTGAGTCAAAATTATTGACTTCACCTACCATAGCAATCTTTTTAAAAAATAATTTACATTTTGGACAGTTGTTCTTCAAGCTTTGCAGTCAGTGCTTATGTTCACTTAATAAAGCATCATATCTCAGAGAGATAACTTCTCATAATGACTTATCTATCACAGCAGTTCTTCTTGGCTTATCCAAAGCCACAATATAGGAATTAAAAATGATTTAAGGACCATGAGTCAAGGAAAATTTAAATTAATTTTTTTCAGAATTATTATTGAATAGACATAGTTTAGAGACCTTCTAGACATTGCATGGACAGTAACATTTTTACAAAGCCCGTTTTATGTTCAGCATTTTGGACGAGACTTATTAGGGAATTTTGAAGTAAACAGGAAACTTAGTTGTAAAATTCTTGGTAGGAAAATTATTAGTGCCAGGGGTAAATATCTATGAAGTGCCTTTTTTTAATTATGTATAGAAAGAGGAGTGGTAATAGTAATACAATTTTTAAGGCAAGTATAATTAAATATGCAGGGTATGTTTAAGTGTAGAATGAGAATTGCTTGCTAGATTATGTACATATTGGTGGACAAAAGGGTGAAGGACATACTTCTGACATAATTTAAGAGGAGTGACATGTTAAATTATTTAGGCATTGCTGCAGTAAGAGTAAGGGTAAGTTGGAGTACAATGAGAGTAGCCACTGTTTAAGAAGGGGATACTTAGCAAAAGGTATGAGTAACTTTTACAAGAAATGTGATGAAGGGATTGAGGATGTGTGGTATGTATTTAACTAGAAATGCAGTGCTAAAGTGTCTAGCAGAGGTTAGTGGTTAAAGGAGATTGAGTGAAGGAGAGAGGAGTTATTGGTGAACTGATTAAGTAAAAAAAAAAAAATGAAAAAGAAGGATAAAGGAGAAAAAGTTAATACATGAGAGGAACTGAGCATATTAAATTTGAGTGGAGAAAAAAAAAGGCTTTTGGGATTTGACTTTGTGTTGGAATGTGAGCAAGGCAAAATTCATGGAGAAATTTATGGACATCAGTTAGCTGGGTTTTGAATTCTGGAGGTGGGTAGTACAGTGCTGGCACTGAGGAGGAGTGGGATTCTTGTAGTTCAGAGGGTCATTTGTATTGTGATGTCTGTATTAATTTCTTTGAGTCATTTTACCTTGGTGGTATATAGCCTATTTTTTTTTTTCAGTTGTGAGTGTATTAAATTTTTTTTTAATCGTTGATTCCTTTTACAGCACCACTCATTTCGATCGTATCTGGGATTTACTTGCCTAATACAGATATCAACAAGAGATAATGATTATATTGTGGATCCTCTGAAACTCAGAGGCAAACTCACTATCTTAAATGAAGTCTTCACAAACCCCAGAATTACAAAGGTTAGTTACATTAAAAAATGTTTATTATTTATTTATTGTTAGTGTTTCCATCTTTGTTATGAGAGTAACTCTTAGCAAATGTACTAATACCATAGCATATGAGAAGTTTTTATAAAGCGGAAGTAATACAAGGAGGAGGAGTATATGGAGGGAAAAAGAGAGGCTAAGAGAGTGGTGAAAGAATGTAAAAAGAGAGCAAGTGAAAGTGGGTGAGATGCTATTAACAAATTTTGCCAAGAATAAGAAAAAGTTTTGGAGTGACATTAATAAGTTAAGAAAGCCCATGGAATGAATGGATTTGACAGTTAAAAATAGGAGAGGAGAGTAATTAGATGGAGAGTTGGAAGATGGAGGGAATATTTTGAGGAACTGTTCAGTGTTGAAGATAAGGAAGCTGTGATTTCATGCACTTGGTAGTGAGGTATAACTTCTTGTAGGAGTGAGAAAGAGCCAGTTGTGAGTGTGGGGGAGGTGCATGAGGCAGTGGGTAGAATGAAAGGGGAAAAGCAACTGGAATTGATGAGATAAAGACAGAAATGCTAAAAGCAGGTGGGGATATAGTTTTGGAATGGTTGGAGCATTTCATTTCATTATCTAAGGAAAAAGATTCTCTTTTCATTTCATAATTTTTTTTTTGTTTTTTTTTTAATTTTTCAACACTGAGCAAGTTTGCGAGCAGGAGTCTTGACACTCAGAGGGTTAATGTTAAACATTAGTAGATTAATGTCAGTGCCATAGATCTATGCATAATTCATAGCACCCTCAGATTTGCTTTGAGTGGAAGATTTTGGGTTGGTGTGGTAGATGTGCACAGTACTGAATAAAAAATTTTCTGCCCCGTTTGATTCAGGATGGGAACAGTTAACCTCTAACTTTGTATTTTGGTTAAAATAGTGAGTTGGGGCATTTTCTGGGTTGGTTTTAATGATTTCTTTTTGGTTGTTTCTTTGTGTCAGTGTTCAGACTGAAAAATGGAAATTTGCATGGTTTCAGACAGGTAGCAGCCTGAAATAGTGTTAGGAAGAGTCAGTTTTGGATGATTTTCCTGGGGTGGGGTAGGGGCCCTCCATAGGGGCCCCCCCTACCCCCTGTCTATTTTTGTTTTACTAGATTTGCTTCAATTACTGGGACAGCCTAAACCATGACCAAATATTCTTAGTTTGATTTATTATAGGAGGGCAGTTGTTATATAAGAGAGGTCTGGGATGTGGTTAGTGAAAGAGACAGAAGGAAGGAAGGAAGGTTGCTTTAGTAACTGGAATGCCTGCAGTGTTTGTTTTGAACTTTATTTTTAATTTGAATAATTTTAGTAGAATAAAATTGCTCAAATTGCCTAATTTGTGGCACTTAATGGGGTAGTTCTGATGGTTGAATGGGTCATTTTTTTCAATCAGTGGATATTATGAAAGGCATACTAGCAAAATAGCTGGGAATTGGGTTGAGCCCTAGAATCTGAATGAGCCCTGGAATCTGCCTAAAATAGGCCTCAAAGTGAGCAAAATCATTGTTTCGTACAGTGCTTGCCTATCCTCTAACATCACACTCATGTAATTCTGTAAGTTTAGCATTACATTAAATTTTACATATTTAGTGTCATTACTTTTAGAAAAAATTCTCTACCATTTAAAAAAAAAATACTGACATAGAAGGGGGCTTTCAAGACAGTGATTGAATGAGCGATGGTGGAAAGTGTTTCCACTTTTTTTTTTTTCTGGTCAACCTAAGTATATAAGAAAGAAGGAACACTGCAGCAGGCCTACTGGCCCATGTAAGGCAGGTCCAAGTCTCCTACCGGCTTAAGCGTTACTGAGGACTTATTGGGGTCCTTCAGTCTCCTTTGTTTCATCCCACAGGAGCAGAAGCATTCATTATACACTAATTCTTATACCCTTCAAAGCCATAAAGTCCATAAACTCTGGTTGTGCAGTTCTGTATAACCCTCTGTATAATTCTCATCTTCATGAATGATCTCCCCAGTGCACCCTAACCCCTTAAACCAGTTCTGTTCACAGATGACACTACGTATGTCTACTCCCATTCAAACCCAGCTGTACTTAGAAACACGGTAAACAATGAGCTTCTAAAAATATATACTTGGATGATGACCAACAAACTCCAACATAGACAAAACATACTTCATGCTGTTTGGCAACAGAGCCTTATATATCCAACTTAATATATTGATAAATGGTTCCCCTATATCAAGACACACTGAGGGTAAATTTCTAGGTCTTCTCCTTGACTGTAATCTTAAATTTCATTCCCACATCCAACATCTGTCCAGGAAAATTTCCAAATCAGTAGGTATCCTTTCCAAGATACAATACTATGTGCCACAAACGACACTCCTTACCCTATACCACTCTATGGTATTTGTGCCTGGGGATCAACCAAAGCCAACCACCTTAAACCTTTAATAACCCGACAAAAAGCTGTTGTGTGGATGATTACCGGCTCCTATGCTAGAGAGCACACCTCACTACTTTTCAAAAGCCTGAACCTGTAAAAATATTATTGTGCCTACTACATATACAGAACATTAAATTCCACTATAAACCTTCCACTTAAACTATTCCTTGACAGTTACAACAGAATGCCCAGTCACAATACAAGGCATAAGGCACTCTTCAACAACCCTTGTGTCAGTCTCACACTATGCAAAAACACTACACACATAAAGGGCCTGAAGATCTGGAACTCGCTATCGAAACTGGTAAAGGATCCCCTGACTACTTATAAATTTAGGACTTTGCTAAAAAAAAATCATCTTATCTCTCAGTACTAACTAAATCAACCAAAACAACTGCTAATTAGTTATATTATGTGACCTCTAGATTTAAACTTCTGCCAGTCCATGAAATATTACTGCCTGAACTATTAATTGTAATATTGTTTTTATTATGTGCAACTTCAAGATTTTTAGTCTTATAAACTACCTTGCATTAGTGTTCAGATTAAATAGGATTGTAATAAAGTTAACCAATATTATCTTGTCTAGTTTTAAGTAGTTACTTGTGTAGTTACTATGTATTAGGATTAGTCTGCCCGAAATGCCCCGGCATGATAGTGGCTTTCTTTGTATTTAGCAAACCAAAATTGTAATTACACATTGTAACCTTTACAAAGAAATAAACCTTTATCTTTATCTTATGAGCTTAGTGTCTTCTATGAATACATTGTAATAATAATCTTATATCTACAGTAGATAATTATAAAAAGCAGTTAATTGAGTAAGTTCTGTATTTTTCAGGTACTTCATGGCGGTGACTACGATATTCTGTGGTTACAGAGGGACTGTGGTGTCTATGTAGTTAATCTCTTTGATACTCACCAAGCAGCAGTTGTGCTTGAATATCCACACCGTTCACTAGCTGCTCTTCTGTCACGCTTTTGTCATATTGAAGCCAATAAAGTTTATCAGAGGGCAGACTGGAGAATAAGGTCAGTATAATATTAATATTTTAGATGTAATCCACTTTCATATCTTCATGTTTCTTCAAGAGGGGTTTCTTGATGCTGGTGAAGGGCTCTTGATGCAAGAAATTAAAGTTTTGAATTTGAAATAAGGTCAGATGTTTGACTCATATGGGTCTTTCATCATGGCAGAGTGCCCCTCCCAGTCTAAAATTCAGAATTACCTTCACAATGTGGCTAGTAAGGGCCTCACATTAGTCAGATCAATCTATGGGCCAGGTCATTAGTGGGTTATCCATATATAATAGGAGTTTGATTGTCATAACTATGCTTGTGGTTTGTTTGCTATTGCTTGCATTGGTGTATTTTGAAATTGCAATATCAGGATTTGTCTGACCCTTCAGGTTGATGCAAGGTCAGTTCCTTCCCTGTGCAAATTTTGTTTGGGTGATGTTCAGAGATTCTATTACACTCGGCCAATACTGTTGTCAGTAGTCTGGTTAAATTGCCTTCCATTTAACTTAGCTACTCTATATAAACAACCCTTTGGAATTATACCACAGTTCAACAGTTGTCATTTCTCACTCTAGTGCTTGTTTTATAATAATTTTTTTTTATTTTTAACACATCGGCCATTTCCCACTAAGGCAGGGTGGCCTGAAAAAGAAAAACTTTCCTCATCATTCACTCCATGACTGTCTTGCCAGAGGCATGCTTACACTACAGTTATAAAAGCGCAACATTAACACCCCTCCTTCAGAGTGCCGGCACTGTACTTCCCATCTCCAGGACTCAAGTCCAGCCTGCCAGTTTCCTTGAA